CAAAACAAGAACAAAAAAAATAAAATCACGGGGGTAAGAAAAAAAAAAAAAAAAAAAAAAAAGGGGGGGGGGGGGGGGGAAAGCCTTGAAAGTAAATCTGAGCCAAGTTCTAATTAATGCCCTAGGCCCCGATTCACCACAGCACTTAGGCATGTAGTTAACTTTAAGCATGTATTTAGTTCCATTGAAGTCAAAAGACAGCATCGAAGAGGCAAACTACATTAGCACAATTTAATACTCTTTGGGCTAATTAATCAGCCATAAAAATTAACTATGAGAAAAGCCTTGAAAGTAAATCTGAGCCAAGTTCTAATTAATGCCCTAGGCCCCGATTCACCACAGCACTTAGGCATGTAGTTAACTTTAAGCATGTATTTAGTTCCATTGAAGTCAAAAGACAGCATCGAAGAGGCAAACTACATTAGCACAATTTAATACTCTTTGGGCTAATTAATCAGCCATAAAAATTAACTATGAGAACTGTATTCCTTATTTCCCTTGCTGTGGCATTTCCAGATAAAAATACTTGGATGTGGCTGGAATAAGCAAAAAGCACTACCTTGTTTGGCTGTCATGGGCTGCTAAGTCCTACCGCTGTGAAGGCCAGTCCCTAAGAGCAGCTAAAGGTACTGAGCTCTCTGCACATCACAGCCTAGTGTCTGTGTCCTCTATGCGGTGACAGCATGCAGGCACAAAAGGTACAGCCCTTGTCCTGAGGAGCAGTAATCTAAGAAACGAAAAGAACTGGCAACATATGAGCAAAGCCATCAGGCAATGGAGGGCACATCAGAGACATCTTTCCTTTTCTCTATAAAGAGGCATTTGTTCACTGCAGTGCATCAGTGTTAGCTGTGCTCGGAGGTGGCAAGGAAGGGCAGCAAACAGGGCTGGGTAAATGAGGGAAGCTGAGGGCAGATGCGAGTTTGGAGGCAGAACTGGTGAGGTTACCAAGAGAGGCAATGTCAGGCAGAGCTGGCAGGAGATGGGCAGTGCTGATGTCTAAAGGGTAGGCAGACTGGAGTCTGGTCCAGCCCCAAATGTGGGCAAGGGCTAAACTCTCCTCGATTTCAGTGGAGTGGGACTGAGCCCTGTAAAAAAGAAGCCCAGAGTGCGATCTCCAAATAGCTGAATAGTCCCAGACACATCTAGACCTTTTCTCCACTTGGTAAGCACAGCATGGTGAACGGCTGCCAAACAACCAACAATGTACTAGCTAGATTTGCCCCGAACATGGTCTTCAGGGGCCCAGTACAACCAATTTTTGAGCTCCTGTTGACTTCACAAAGGCATTTGTACAACTAACCATTCTGTAAATCAGGATGCAAGGAGAAAAGTTGGCTGATAAGGGTCTTCTTGCTAGGATTTCTGCAAAAATGAAACTACAGTTTGACAAAGTATCATTAATGCTGTACATAGACCTATAAAAGCTAGGAAATCGAGAGCTGGGGACATAAACTCCTGGCTGACAATAATTCGTTATCTCATCCATTATGAAAACAAAAAAGGACAAAAACAACCCCCCAAAAATTACGATGCCATGAGCATAAAAGAAAGTACCAGCACAGCTTTTCAGATTAACTTTGAATTTCCTTGCTTTCATTGGTTTAAGAGGTCTATTGTTACTCGCTTTTTTTTTTAATTGCAGATACTAAAAATTCTTTTATCTTTCGAAGTCCTTAAAGTCTGTTATATAAATACGTAATTAAAGCCTCTTTCAACTGGGTATAATTTACTCTATAGTTTACAACAGCTGCACTAGAGCTATTACAGTTTATCATTTAAAAGCCTAATTAGGGGCTTCTTAATTAGTGGATCCTTCAGTCACTAGACTGTG